CAGCAGAGACAGCGGCCCTCGAGCGGAACGCAGGGCTCTCGTGGAGGCAGCATTCACGGGCTTTGCCTTGCTGTGATGGAGAGACGCTGCTCTCCTGCAGAGACAGCCCCGGTGAGAGCCACCTCCCATGTCCCTGGCACGCGCACTTGCTTTAGCATCACTCTCAGCCGGGACGGCAACAATGTGCCGAGAGTGTCATTCTGTTGGGTTTAAGCCGTTCCGCAGAGCTCCGCAGCGTGACGGATGGAAACCAGGGCTGGGGGAGAGAGGAGCCAGGCCAGAAGGAGGGGTGGGCTCTGCCTTGCCTGCTTTGGCTGTTCTTCCCCGTCCTTTCATGGGATCCTCCATCCCTCCTCCAGCACCCAGTGACTCCCTTATCCCCAAAACACGCCCTGCACACCACCTCTGGCCCGGGCTCGCATGCCTGCCAGGGGACATGGCTCCCTTTCGCCCTCCTCTCACTGCTCGCCACGGATTATCGAAACCTTTGACTTTCAGACAGGGGATGCTCAGCACCTTCCAGAAACGCCGACCCCGTCAGGTGTCCCATCGCGGGACCATCACCAGTCACCAGCAGTAAGCAGCACGGAGAAACCGGTCCCTGTCCTGCCACGGGCTGCGAGCACCGGACAGAGCATTCCGCCCGCTCTGACTCGGGGTCTCGCTGCCCACCCTCAGCTCCCCAAAACCACACCCTGTTGACTAGAAGGCAGCTCAGGAAGACCATTCCACACATCCCCGCTGCCCACCCGCCCTCCACAGCCACTTCCCCAGCTGCAGGGAGGTAGATGCGCAGCCACAGGACTCGGGGGAGGCGATCCGCAGGCAAAGCAGGGAGACTGCTGCCCAGCAGCCTCGGCCGCTCGGGGCTGCGGCACTGAGGGTCTCTCTCTGCCTCCTTATGGAACAGGCTGCTTCTCCTGTCAGTCTCCAGTAGCATGTCCTTTAGCCACAAGCGAAAGCAGCCGATCCCCCATGAAGGCACATCTGCTCCAACTCCGTATTACAACAGAGGGGAAAAATGACACCTTCAGCTATATAAACCAATAAAGACTGTCTGATTTGGTTTGCCCCCGTTGCTACCCAGCACACTCCCCGCTGGGTTAAAGGCTGGTGACATCTGCTAAAAAAATGTCAAGAGTGAGGAGAACAAAACCGGGAAATGAATCACACCGAGTGCTCGATGCAGCCAGCAGCCGGAGGGGCGAGTTCCCTGCACCTCGCTGCCCGGCCGAGGGGAGCCGCGATGGCCGGGCCAGCGCCGCACAGCCCGTGGCTCCCAGGGATGTACCCAGGCAGGCGCAGCGCCAGGCGCACACCTCGCAGCGGCCCCTGAGAAACAGCACCACACGGCAAAGGACATGGTGCGAGGGGCTGGTTACGGAGGTGGTCTCTCTCCGGCTCTCCAAAGTCAGGAAATGGCAAAGTTAACTCTGCCCCCTTGTGCATCTGCATCATGATACAGGCTGTAATTAGAAGAAGATGCGCTTCTCGTCTCCACATTAGAGGCCAGCACACACGGTCCACCTCCCCGTCACCGACAGCGTGGCGCCTTGGGACTCCTCTGTGGGCACCTCGCGCCCAGCCATGCAGAGGGACCTTGTGCTGAGCAGGATGGGGAGGGCTACGGACACTTCCGGGGTCCCCCTCAAACAGACAAAGACGTGGAAACACCCGTTTGTGCTCCTCCAGATCTGCAGACCTGAGCCTATTATGAAAGCAGTTCAAACGCTTTGCTGAGGACAGCATTCCTGTCCGGCGCACGGGCTCAAAAATCATGACTCATCCTGCCAAAACGACAGCGGTTGTTTTAGAAATCACGTGCTCTCTTCTAAAAATGAACTGGCAAAAGGTGGGGAATTTCTCAGCTCTGCTTCTGACCTTTCCAAGGAAACATCTAATTCTTTCCTCTGCAGTTTCGGAAGCTTCTTGTTTCTCAGCCATAAAGCCTTCGGCTTAAAGCAGAGCCCTCTGTCATCACAGGCACCCAAGAACCGGTGCTGCAGGACAGGGCTGTAACAGAGCCGTGTGGTTTCAACACAGACGGCCTCTCTCCTGACAGGGCTGACAAAACACAGAATTTCCACCCTGCTTGCTTTAAGGGATATATTTATCTATGGATTTGTGGCCTTGATGTAGAAAAAAACCATCAGATGGACAATCACAGAGTTAACTAACAACCGCATATTCAGCCAGTACCTGAACACGGGGAGTTTTATACTCCCACCGTTGGACCAGTCCCCCCGTGGCTGAAATTGTCCCCATAACCCTCCTGCAGTTTTTCCCCCGGTGGCGGTGAACCCAGCGCTGCTCCGCGAGCGGACCAGGCATTTCCAGCAGTGCATCCACAGGCACCCGACCCTGTTTGTGCCGCTCGGGTGTCAGGCTCCTCGCCCAATTTTAGCCTGTGGGCCGGGGCGGGCCCCGCACCAGCGTCGCGGAAGCCGGGGACCGCGGGCGCTCCACAACACGGGGCAGGAGCCTGACCTGGCAGGCGGGATGGCAGCACCCCCACCAAGGGCAGTCAGCGGTCCCCAGCCCACCAGTGCTGCCATGGGGCGGGCGGCCACCCCTCCTCCAAGTGCCCCCAGCAGCGGGACCTCAGTGTCCCCGCTGAGGCTCTGGTGTCCCCTCTGCTACCGCACGTGTGTTCACAGTCTTGGCCTCAGCTCCTCCCTGTAAGCTCTTACTACTCGAAAGGGATCCTCCAGATCAAAGGCACTTCCATAATACCCCAACGCAGAACTTCTCCTTTTCCCTTCCACTCCATCCTCAGCATCCTCCTCTCCAAAGCAGTGTCTGCAGTAGGAGCACGCCCGGATGCGGAAGGAAACGGGACCACAAACCCAGCAGCAGATCTGAGGAGTGCCAGCAATGTCCAACCCCAACCAGACTGCGCTCGTTCCCCTCCCAGGCCAACAAAAGCCCCCGGCGCTGGGGGGAACGGGCAGAGATGCAGCATGCCAGACAGTTCTGCTGTAAATTTTCTGTCTCTTTGTGCACAGGGACACCTCCCTGCCTTTTTTTTTGTTGCAGGTGGCCACAGAGTCAGCACAATGGCAACTCTTCCCCTTTTCGCTGGCCAGAGGGAAACATTCCCTGGTCAGGAGGAGGGTCTGGTTAAAAACAGTGACACAGCCCCAGTGCTTTCTGAAACACCCAGACAAGCCCCTGCTCCTCAAGGGCGTCCTGCCTCTGGTCACCAGGTCACGCCGAGGGTCCCTGGCCGGGCTGCGACCTTGGCAAAGACCTGCCGAAACGGGACCAAACCCCACCGCAGCAGACGGTGACCGGGGGATGCCCACAGCTCCATCATGTCACAGGCACGCAGCGTCTGCCCCATCCCCATCCCACCTCCCACCGGCCATGCGCCGGTGCTCGGCCCCCACCAGAAAACACCTCCCGCTACCTTCGTCCCGCTTGCGCTTGTTGCTCTCGGTGCCGGGGGAGGCGATTCCCAGGATCCCGCTGATGGAGTAGGACGAGCCGGCGGAGTCGGTGCTGACGGAGGACACCTGTGTCACAGCCCCCGTGGAGGCTGCAAGGCAAGGCCAGGCGGTCAGCGGGCAGGACAGCACGGGCGCCAGCCTACCCA